GCCACACAGACTTGTCTGCAGTTCTTCCAGGCACATGGGAGTGAAATCAACATCCATCACACACAGGACCACCAGGTGCATTTCTGGAAGACACTGCTGAGCGAGGAAGGGGCACAAACCACGTGCCCCCGGCAGCAAGCAGTAGGAAGGCTGATGTAAGAATTAGGCAGTTGCTGGGAGCCCTTATTTTCTCTTATTACCTTTCATTCATGGTCTTGTCCTTTCTCCTGCTGTCTGGATGTGTGTGTGCGTGTGTGTGTACACAGGGGGTGTGGATGCCAAATGGTGGTGGTGGGAATACAAAGGGGAGTAGCATCGTACTCAGAGATTGGGATCGAAAGTCAAGAGGTCAGATGACAAAGGCATGTAGGCAAAATCGCCTTGAGAAATCCTTTCCTTCCAACACTGCCAGTTTTACCTTTTGTCTTAGTCTATTTGGGCTGCTGCAGCAAAATACTACAGACTGGATAATTTACAAACAGTACAGATTTATTTCTCACAGTTCTGGAGGCTGGGAAGTCCAAGATCAAGGCACCAGTAGGTTTGGTGTCTGGGAGAGCCTGGTCTCTGCTTCTAAGATGGTACCTTGATCACTGTGTCCTCACATGGTGGAAGGACGGAAGGACAAAAAGGGGCTGAACTCACTCCCTCAAGCCCCTTTATGAGGGCACGAATCTCATCCGGGAAGGTGGAGCCCTCATGGCCTAATCCCCTCCTCAAGCCTCCACCTCTTAATACAGTTGCATGAGGGATTAAGTCTCAACATGACTTTGGAGAGCGCAAACATTTAAACCAACGCACCTTCCATCATTGCTACAGGTTTCTGTTTATCCAGCTGGACACCTGAGGAAGTAGGTGGCTTGCATTTAGGGGCCACGGAGTATAAAAAATAAGCAGTAATCAACATCAGGATCACAATGAGTGAGGCCAAATGCCCACACTGTGGAGGGCATGCAGAGATTGAAGGGACAAAAGATCCATGCCTCCTTCTCGTAGTTACTCTGTTGTATATGCTCGTGGAGCAAAATGGCAGATAAAATTGCTTACATTTTTAAAGTCATCTGTTTTTCTCTCTGACAGACTAGAATTGAATTTAGCTAAATTAAATGTTCTATGAGGTGACTCCATTGCGTCATCAGGTGAAATGCAATCTGCCTTGTTTTAAAGGTGTTGAAAATGTGTTTGGTCCAGTGCCCAGAGTTCAGGTTAAATCCAGGCACACAACTACATAACAAAACTCCAAGGCCTCTGATTTATGCTCTCAGGTGTTTCCTGGCTATGGAAAAAGGGGAGAGGGGAGATTATGCAAGGATGTGCCAGAGCTGCCTAGTTCTGTCTCCTGGAAGCTGAATGTGCATGTCTCTTCCTAACTCTGCATTCAGTGATGCTACTTCGGTAGTCTAAAATTGGCCATGGTGCGTGTATTTACACCAGGGAAATTGGCAGATGCTACAAATCAGATGTCTCCTCTTCCCCTGCCACACTCTCAGAGAGCCAATTTACTAGATGTAGATGAGGGGAGGGAAAAGTTGGTGCTGGAATCATTTGCTTTCAGAAGACAAGTGGAAGGGATAGAGAGACAAATATTGGAGGTCTCAAATGTGGGGGGTGCTTCAGCCATTTTGAAGATGGGTTGTTGGAAAATATTGGTAAGATAAGAGACACCTTTTTGATAATTGGAGTTTTATTGTGCCAGAGATTAACTGCCTTCCAAATATCTCTTCTCTCCTTCCTCCTTAGCATCAAAATCCTGGCTTGTCAGGGAGGCAATGTGTTCAGCTAAGAGATGGCATTTTCTGGCCTCCTTTGCAGCTAGAGGAGCGTGCCTCTATACCATATCGTCTTTAGACAGAGGCAGGGGAAAGGAAGCAGGGACTGACAGAGGTATAGACACAATTTGGTATGTAGGAAAAAGCATACTCATGTATTGACGCAAAACCACAGAGAGAACCAGACACACCTGGAAGCTCTGCTATGTGGATAAGGCTCGGTGGCCAGACAGTGAGGTGTTGCCAAATGTTTGCTCTCCCCTCTTTTACAAGAGAATGCCTTTTTTTTTTTTTTTAGCTGAGTACAGTACCACCTAAATTAAAGATTATATTTCCCAGCTTCTCTTGCATCTGAGTGTGAGCAAGCGACTGAGTTCTACCCAAGGCGATGTGAGGGAAAGTGGTATCAACGTCTCTGCACAATCCTGGGGGCGCCATTCACAACATGAGGCAGCTGTGAGTAGAAATGATGTTGCAACCTCAAATGGAAGAAGTATGTTCTTCCTGTGCCCCGTTTTGCTCCTGAGAGACTGAATGTACCAACCGACAATGGCAATAGAATTCGGACCCACAACACAGCCTCTTCAGCAACCTGCCCAGGAAGCCGAACCACAACTTCTGTAGCAACTGACCCAGAATGGGCAGGACTTGGTTAATGACTGTCAGCTTCCCTATGTTTTGTTCCTGCTTCCAACTCAGGACCAACTGGGGAAAGTCAAATATGCGTCCAAACCAATCACGTAAGATGCCCCACTCCTGATGAGCCAGCCTCCAGCCTGCCTGTGCCAACAGCCTCCAATTAGGGCACATTTGCGGCCTTCCCTCTTTTCTGCCATGAAGTTTTCCCACTCCTCTGCCTGCCTTCGAGTCTCTGCCAAAGGCAGGGTTCCTTGCCATAGCAAGCTCTGGACCGATAGACTCTGTTTGCTCTCTTTCGTGGGGGTGAGGGTCTTCATTTATTTCTACACCCACTTCCTGCTGAGTGGAATACAGACATGGGGTGAGCCAACTTGAATTGTGAGCACTAAGATGCTAGGGCCCCCCGTTTCTGGCATCATGGAACTGCCATACACTCCATTCTGTTAGTGAGAAACATGCTTCAGTCTGTTAAGGCTCTGCCATTTTAGGTCTCTGTTTCAGCAACCTAACCAAACACACACACGCACACACACACACACACACACACACACACCCCGAGGAGACTTTTTTTTAGCTCAGATTGAATAGTCAAACTTTAGCTATTTAAACCGTACTAATTTGGAACTTGTGCAAGTTTGCCCTGGGGCTGCCTGGGTAAAGGGTACATTTGCACTGGATTAAAAATCAGAGTTTGCTGAGCAGATTCATGTACTCCAGATTTCACTCATTTAAACTAGGATTTTTAAGGTACTTTAGGATCTTTTATTTGCATACAATGATTGATATGCTAATTACAAGAGACTCATACCTATTCATTAATACCTGGAGTTTACTTAGTCCTGGCAGTCTGTGAATGCTTGTAATGCAAAGGAAGAAAGTTGCATTTATGCACACAAAATTCAGAATTTTTATCAATTCTAACTGGACTCTTCCCAATCAGAATAAATAAACAAATTTCACTGACTCTTTCTCGGGTGATCCCTTTGTGTTTCAGTGTGACTCTGTCTCCCTTTGGATACAGCTTTGGCCACTACATGGCCCAGGATCACAGGACACAAAATACTTTGGGTGGGGAAGATACAAGGGCAATTTATTAATGTCCACATATAATCCATCCTTTTTCTGGTCACCAGAGTTGAGGGCCCCAGGTTCCAGGCAGGAATAGTTCCCACCTTCCTCCATGTCACTTCTCTAGACCCACAGGGGAAGCATGGAAGGGTGGACCCACAGAACTGACTTCTTGGGGTCGCGGGCCCAGCCATTTGATGCCCTGTAAGACACTTGGGTCAGGAAGATGGGCCAAGACACAGAACTAATGTCTTAGGCTTTTGTGTCTTCCACCCTCATAAGTCAGACCTGACTTTCAGGGACCTTCTACCATGCCTGACAGAGTGGACAAAAGCAAAGAGGCCCCTGGATATTCAGCCATCCTTCCTGATCTCCTCTGGGTAGTATGGCGCTATCTGGGAAGCATGTCCCAGAAATGTCGTTCCCTGGGACGTCCTTGTTCATGACCCCAGGCCTCCAACATCCATCCACCCTCTCATCCATTCATCCATCCAACATTTGCTGTGTGCCTGCTCCATGTTTGCAAGACAGTCTTGACTCTTGAGGAGTTCATGATCTATGGCAGAGGTAGACATTTACACAAATAATTGTAATCTAGTGTGACACACGCTGTAACTGAGTTACATGCAAGCTACCAAGTGAACACAGAAGAATGAGCAGATAGCTTAGCTGGCGAAGGCTTCCCAAATACCAAACAAGTGACACTTGTGTGAAGTCTTACTGGAAGCGTGGGTTTCCGTTAGCTGGAGATGTTGGGTGTGGGATAGCATTCCAGGCAAAGGAAACGGAGGCTTGAAAGAGCCAAGAAAAGGCACATAGTTCTGTAGGGTTGGAGCAGAGAATGAGGGAGGAGGAGGAGATGCACCAGAACTGTAACCTGAGGTCCTCTTGGGCGCCATGCTGGAGGATTTGGACCTTACCTGAGGTCACAGGACACATTCAAGGCAGGGCTGGGACTCAAAAGCCTACAAAGTCAGGCAAATGATGTAACTCAGTGAGGGGGCTGGGTGGGGGTTGGAAACTGGGGAGTGCAGGCCCCATCCAAAGGCACAGCCACCTGTTGCCATGCTGGGGTGCAGGCTCAGTGTAGCCATGTTTCCATTTTCTAAAAGATAACAAGCTGGAAATCCATATTTTCATATGAATACTTCTAGTTTTCAACTGTGGGCAGTTATTTCAAAATATCACCCTGGCCAAGCAAAAAGTTATCTGATGTCCCATCAGCCCTTGGACCTTCAGTTTGGCACAACTGATTTAGATCAGATTAGAAATTTAGAATTTCTAAGCAGAGAACTGATACAGACTTATGTCAGAAAGAGGACGTCCCCACAGATCTTATGTGGTCTTTCTGCCCCAGCCCCTGCTGACAAGAATCTCCTTACCGATCTCCACCCCTTGCCCCTCCCCCACGCAATCTCTGCCCCTCCCCCCCAGACCACCCCCAGCTCCTGCCACCCTCTCCACTGGGAGAAGCCGGATGAATGAACTGTGCTGCAGACCTGGCTTACAGAGAAAAGCCCAGCGTTAAGGACATGAGAGAACCATATTTATTTCACATGGACAAGCATGATTCCGTTGCATGCTGAACACGAAAGCTCGTGTGAGCAAAGTACCCGTAACAGCAGAATTTATGTGCTTTTGTCCACAGGGAGCAGGGAGAGTCATGAAGTAGTTTTCAGAGACAGTATCCTTCAGAACACAGGCTCTGAAGTCACCGGTGTATTTCATCACCAAAGGGTCTATCTCGCAGGAGTGGCCAGGGGGTGCTTCCAGGGTTGCAATCTCGTGATGAGTTGCCAAGTTCTGAGGAGGACTGAGGATGGTCTCCTATCCCACCACCCAGGGTGTCTCGGGGAAAGAGGCTCAGAGGGAAGGTACATGCCACTTGGAATTAACAAGGCCACTCCTGGGCAGACAGTGACAGGGGCCGACTGCTGCAACCATAGCAACAGAACCATCACCACTTACAATATCCATCATCAGGGGAAGATCCACTCTTCTTAAAGCCGTTCCCCAAGGCCCCTTACGGGTGGAAGGGAACTGATTGGACGTCCCAGAGCAGATCAACTTTGCCCAGAATGGAGAGAGCTAGTGGCAGGGACCCCCTGGTCTCTTGGCATTAGCTGCGCTTCCGGGTTCCAAGATGATAGACTCCAAGCTGGGAACGAGGCTGGAGTCTCGACTTGTTGGGGGAAGAGGATCAGAGGCTCCGAGAGCAAACCTCAAGGAAAAGACCACAGAAGAGCCCTTGCCTCTGGGTGTCTTACTCCCACCTGAAGTCCTGCCCAACGGTTTCATAAAATTTAATATTATACGGTCTATAAAACTCCCGAAGCTGGTCTATGACTTCAGGATCAATCTGTACATGAGTTCTCCCTTTGGATTTGCCCAGGCATCGAGGCAGGAGGCTCGACTGTGTTTTTTTCAAGCAAGGGAATCCTTTGGTCTTGTTGAAGTAGAAGTGCTTGTCGGTGATGAATCTCTTGATGCCCAGGAAGTCCTGGACGCGCCCCATCTCGCCCGCAGGGTCGGTGATGAGCCGCTCGCCGCTGACGAAGTGGATCTGGGCCAGCGGGAAGTACCGCAGCCAGCTCTCCAGGTGCAGCACGTACATGCCGATGCGGATGGCATTCCACGACACGTCCACCAGGCCCAGGCTGCGGTTGCGGAAGGACAGGCCCTCGAAGGTAGGGATGTCGGGCTTCTTGGAGAGCGTCTGGGTGTAATCGGAGATGGCGCGCGTCACGGGGTTGCGCACCACCACGATCAGCTTGGTGTCTCGGGACATGTTGAAGATGCGGCGAGGGGCCTCTTGGGTGACGAAGTAGCTGGGCGTCTTCTCCAGCGTGATCTGGGTCTCCAGGGTCCTGGGCATCAGGCTCCTAGGGGAAGAAGCAACACGTCGTCAAACAGGGTTCCCCTGGGGGCCCGGGACTCAAGCACAGCACACCGGCTCGCTCCACCCCGTGACCTGTTCAGTTCCGTCCTCTCTGGCACATTTGAAACTCTCACCTGGTGAGAAACCCACTTTAACTCTTGATTTTTTTTTTCTAATTTTTAACAAGTTTGCTTTAAAAACTGGAAACAACCTAGATGTCCATCCATATGTGTTAAATAAATTGTGGAACAGCCAGTTAGTAGAGTTAGGCAGATCTATATGTGTTAATATGGAATGAGTTCCAACATATCATGTTACATGCAAAAAGGCAAGGTGCGGTGTGTATATGGTGGGAAGGGCACACAGGCCACCAGTAAAAGCAGTTGCTCCTAGGGAAGGAACTTGAGGTGGATGAGAAACTAGGAGATGAGAGATAAATGATAATTACTTTTTACTGTGTAATCTTTTACACAGCTTGAAATTTTCAATGCATTTATTGCATATTCAAAAAATACAAAGTAAGCCACTGAATATTGTTCTGGCAAAAGATATTTCTCCAATTATATTAAGAAAATCTTTTTTGGGGGGTGAAAAAAGCTTGTTTTGCAAGAATAGCAACTGTTTTAGATATGAGTTCTGACGTCTTCTCCTGCCAAAAAACATCTGAAATACATCCTTTGTGTAGGCTTGAAGAAGAACAGAACTCCAGGCTGGTTGGGACCTCAGTGGGAAGCCAGGCAATGCAACCCTTCTCTCTCCCATTTTTTAATTTCCTGGCTCTGCTTCAGACTTTATGGGGTGATGGAAGGAGGCTCTAATGTCTCCTTCCCAGGTACATCTCTTTCGGGCTTTGATGGAGGGAAACTCCTGGTTCCCAGTCGTTACTTCTTGATGAAGGTCATATTTTACCCTTAAATTAGTTTTTCTTAATCCTGGCTGCACATTACAATTACCTGAGAAGTTTATTCTTTCTTTCTTTTAAAAATAAAGATGTCTGGGCTCTGTCCTAGATCAATTGATGCAAAATGTTGGGGGGGGGGTGTACTTTTCTAAAGCTCCTCCCATGATTCCAAGGTGAAGGCAAAGTTGAGAAACACCCTTCCCCAATCATCCTTTCTCCAGTCCTGACACTGTGACTTACCAACCCTCAAAGCATGCATCTTCACATTCCTTTGGGATATTGACTCCTGGTTCCTAGTCTTCTTCCCAGCTCCTACTGTCATCTCCATCCAACAACCTGTCCTCACAGTGCTTTGACTTTTACTACTCCGAGTATGTCCATGTTCTCTACCCTTCACCATCTCTTCCTCCTGGCTGTTCCTTGGGTCTTGTCATTGAAATGGCCTTAATTCTGAAATGGTTAACTCAGAAATCTCACTCTAGGACTAAGTAGTGAGTTGAATGGTGACCCTCCAAAGTACATGCCCACCCAGGACCTTTGAATGTGACCTTATCTGGGAAAAAAGTCTTTGCAGATTTAATTAAATTAAGCCTAGATATGAAATCATCCTAGATTAGGGTAAGCCTTAAGTCCAGTGATGAGTGTCCTAAGAAGAGAAGAGAAGGAAGACGAGACACATAGGGAATGAGGAGACCTGAATTCAAAGGCAGAGAGTGAAGTAAGATATCTATAAGCCGTGAATACCAAGGAATGCCACTAGCAGCCCCCAAAAGCCAGGAGAGGGGCACGGACTGGATCCTTCCTCAGGCCATCTAGAAGGAACCAATCCTACTAAACATTTGGTTTCAGACTTCTGGCCTCCAGAAGTGTAAAAGAATAAATTTCTGTTGTTTTAAGCCACCCAGTTTGTAGTCATTTGTTACAGCAGCCACAGTAAACTACAGATGACAGCCTTGTTTCCTTCCACCTTTACCACGGTCTCAAACTCATTACACCTATTTTCAAATTCATCCAGGAGCCTCTCGATCTCACTTTCTTCTCCACTTTCCCTAGACCCAGTGAACAATCATTTCAATAGCATCATCATCATTATCATTATCATTATTGTCATCAACTTCATCAGGCTAATTCCAGCCTTTCATCCTTTCTAATTCTGTCCCTGAGTTGTCAAATAGCAGTGGAGAAAATTGCTGGCCCTTACAGTAAGTGGATCCTTTATATATTTATTAATGTAGCTTTAGTTGAACCCTCAGTACTGCTCTATAGTTTTATATTTGTCTTTACAGGCTCTCCCTGTCATTCTTCATAGCAAATATTCCCAATTCTCACCATAAACTCCCAACTCTAATTTTGTCACCCACCCGTAACATGTAACTAGTCTCCCACAACACTAGAAAGGTATAAGTGGTCACCCTCCAACGCCTTCCTCTCCATTATCTTGAAATTGACCTTGATCTGCACCCATCCTGAGCCCCTCCTGCTAGCCTCAGGGAACAAGCTCTGCAGGGGCTCACCTGTCCACCCGTGCTCAGGTCCCTTCTCCTACTGCCTTCTCCGCAAACCCACCCATTGGCCCCTTGAGCCTTCAAATCCCCTGTGCTACTAGGCTGAGACAACTGATACTTTGCTTTCAGGCCCAAAGTCTATATGGAACCTTGTGGGTTGAAAGTTTAAATAATATTTATTAGTATTGAGTAGACCAATTTTTTTTAAAGGATATCATTGTGAGTAAACAATCACAAAGGCACTTGAATAGAATTCTTCGGCTGTATTTTCTTAGAAATCTGGCTATATCCTATTATGAACTTGGCACACATTGTAATTAGGTGTTGGCCCTTATGACAAGAGTAGATGAAATTATATAAATGTAACAGGGCATTTAAACTCTGTTTAAAGACTTTCCAAACTCTATAGGGCAACACAAAGAGGTGGACGTGACAAGCCGTTAAACAGCTTTGCAATATCCTTCCACACAGTAAAGAGAGGAATTGAGGATGCAACATTTTCCAAGCTTATTGGACTGTGGAGCTATGAACTATTTCCGGGAGCACCAATTAACATCTCTCTCTGTTACCAGTTTGGAAAGTTCTCACCAATTCCAGTGATCTCCGGAGCATCACATCATTCCCCTGTGTGTGCACTGAAGTGAAAATCCACCCTTCTAATTCCTAATCAGCATCTCAGTCGCAAAACCAAATGACAAATAGCAAGGAAGATATAAGAACCAGACTGTAAACGAGATCATTGTAGCCACACCATGAGTCAAAGAGTCCTATGGATTTCAAATTTTCTCTGTTCCCCCAAAACACCTTTGCATATTTACTTCTCCTTAGGTCACTGGAATAGAACACAGGAATCCTGTGACAACATGCATGGGGACTGTGTCTACACCTCCATGCTCTGTGCACATGGTGAGAAGGTGCTTAGACTTTGCTTTGAGGCCCATCTTACTTCCTTATGTCACTCTTTAAATTTTGCTTACTTGTTTCCAGCTGCTAACAAACAGCTGGACTTTTCTTTCACCCTGTAAACCTCTTAAGCTTCTGCCTCCTTCTTTTTTATGTAGCTCTGCAAAAATTACTGAAGGAATAATCTAACACACCCTGTTTAGACTTACCTCCCATTTGTTATTTTAACTTGCTCAGCAACAATTTCTTGTACCTCTGGTTAACAATCCCAGATTTTTCTTTGAGGAACTATCACTCTTAGCTTTGGACAAAATCTTGGTGGGCCAAGGGGTGGGTGCATGATCAAAGTTAGACCACTAAGTACCAATTGTGTTATAAAGACTAAAAAAATGGGTCATAAATACTGAAAATGAAGCTCTCCAACCAGACATAGGAAGCTGGAAGAGAGAGATTCCCCCATTAGTTTCTGTTACCAAATCCTATAGCTATCTGGTTCTTGCCCTTTTCGAAGACTTGGTCCTTTCATTTTCCTCTGGATTCTGTGACTTAATCCATATCCTTCCAGTAAATCATTACTAGTTTAAGTTATCAGAATTGGTTTCTGTTGCTTGCAACCCAAGAATTCTAACTCATCTTTTGCAATCGGGCTACTTCTCCTTCTTTTCTATGGAAGTTATTTACACTCACCCGACTTGATTATAAACTCCATGAGGGAAGGGCAGGGCAGGACATATCTTATTTGCAGCTATATCTCAAGAAGCTACCACAATCCGTGGCATGAGTAAGGTCTCCATCAATATGTTTGAGATTTAAATGAAGCAACAACTTGTCTATCCCAGTTATGCTTAGATGCCTTCATCCCCTTTTCAAATTCCCAGCTCTCTCTGAACCATTCTGTATCTCCCCAGTGGTCTGTCTCCCACTTCTCTCATTCAACGTGATCCTCCTGGATGACCTCAATCCTTCCTCAGCCTTTAACCATCCCCGGAGAGATGCTGACTCACAAACCTGTAACTGCAGCTCATGCCCAGCTGTCTATGTGCCGCATATCAACCTCGACAACTTGACTCACCATTTTCCTCCCCAAACTTACTGCTCTCTTTTGCCTGTTTTCACAGATATCACCATGAAAGCAGAAAAATCTCAAAATCGTTCTCGACTCTTCCTCACATCTAATGTCTTTCACTCTTGTAAGTTTTATTTCTCCAACCTTCTGAAGTCTCCCCACGGCTCACCGAGCCCACTCACATGGCTGCAGGCCCTTGTCAACTCTTCCTCAGACAAGAGTTCTTTCTTTCTGACCTCCCTGCTTCTACTTGCTCTCCCTTTCCATCTATTCTGCATTCTGTGTCCACCAGGAAATCCAGTCACGAATTCCAAACTTTCTAGAGCAAAACCAATCATGTCGACCATCACCGACTCTTTTGAATAAAGCCCATATTCCCTGGCTGGGTACTCAAGCCCCTGCCTACCTTTCTAGAATTAACCACTTGCCACTTCCTGGTAACCTGATGCTTATGCCATAGTGAACACAAAATCCACTCCCCAAACGTGTCCTGCTCCTCCATGTGTGCTGTGCACTTGCTGGGTGTTTTAGTTTAGTTTTTCAAGACCACGGAGCATCTTTCTTGTTTCTTTTGCCCTCATGAACGCCTGGTCATGTTTCCAAGTCCAAACCCAAAGCCACACACACCC